GTTTGCTATGTGCCTTAAGAAGCTACTTGCAAAAGGCTAAATAACCAAATGAGGATCTTAGGTAGCTAGGTAGGTGGGTTAATAAAAGGATATCAAAAAGATATTCACCAAAACTTAACAGTGGTTATAACTGACTGATGGATTTCTGGTGATTTTTTACCTTTTTCTTTATGTTTTTCATCTTACTTCATGATTAACTTTTATCTTTATAAAGAAAAACACCCAATATTTTTAGTTTGGAAACAAAGCTTTCCTATTCCAAATATTCACATCTCCATTACTTATTAAATAAACTGGCTTTTCTTAGCTTATCTCCTTGTATGAAGGTCAATTACAGAGTTCAGGAAAATGTTAGGAGGCTGAAAAGAAAGTACAGTGACTTGTGAACAACACTGCCAGCAATACTAAATGTCAGGGTTGGACAAGATCTTAAAAATACTTTGGTCCAACTAGCCAAGCAATGTTTAAATTCTCTTTATAATATTCCCTGATAATTAATAATCTAGTGTTTGACTCTCACGTTATAAACTTATTACATTCCAAAGCAACCTATTCAATTTTTGGATAGGTCCAATAACAGGGTCCACGCTTGCACTAATCCACTGCTTCTGTATAGTTTTCACCAACGTGTTCAGAAAAACTGTATTTAACCACTAGTGACGTTCTCCTGGGCTCCTTCAATTATTCCTTATTTTACATAGTTTGTGCCCCTTCCACCAGTCTCATCACTGTCCTGTAAAAGCACTTCAGTGATCTACATACCTTTTACAGTAGTGTCCCAGGACACCCATTATTTCCAGTATGGCCTCACTGAAGCAGTGTTGGAATGCTATCTTCCTCATTCTCAGTATCACCCTAGTTTTCTACTGACTACATCACACAGGTGACTAATATGAAATGTTACTTGGTAAAAGTCTTTTTTAACCTGCTTTTCTACCAAAGATAATGTGATTCAACTAAACTTAGTTACTTTTCTTTTTTTTATTTTTTTTTTTTAAATTTTTTTTTTTTTTTTTCAACGTTTATTTATTTTTGGGACAGAGAGAGACAGAGCATGAACGGGGGAGGGGCAGAGAGGGAGGGAGACACAGAATCAGAAACAGGCTCCAGGCTCTGAGCCATCAGCCCAGAGCCCGACGCGGGGCTCGAACTCACGGACTGCGAGATCGTGACCTGGCTGAAGTCGGACGCTTAACCGACTGCGCCACCCAGGCGCCCCAACTTAGTTACTTTTCAAAATCCAAATCCTGAACTTCAGATTTTTCTGTCCTGGAAAAGTTAAACCTGACCCACTTCTCTGGCCTGCTGTATCCATTCATTCAATATTTTTGAAAGCCTACTATTGGCCAGGCACTATTCTAATGTACTAAATAACCATTAAACAAAACAGACAAAAATCACTGCCTCATGCTACAGACATTTCGGTCATCTTTTTTGATCCTGACTTAATAAGCTAACACTTTCACTATCCATCTCTCTCAGTTTTCATGACATCCATAAAATATAACTAAACTCCTTGCATCTCTAACCAAATCACAGATTAAAAAGAACAAACAAGGGCTCCTGGGTGGCTCAGTTGGTTAAGCGTCCAACTTCAGCTCAGGTCATGATCTCAGGGTTCATGAGTTAGAGTCTGCATTGGGTTCTGCACTGATGAAAATGGATGCAGAAATTCTCAACAAAATACTAGCAAATTGAATCCAATAGTACATAGTTATTCTTGGACTAAAAGCATCCAATCAATGAATAGGATATACCATATTTGCAATCAATGAACATGATATACCATATTAATAAAAGAAAGGATAAGAACCATATGATCCTCTCAGTAGATGACAGAAAAAGCATTTCACAACATACAGCATCCATTCTTGATAAAAACCCTCAATAGGGGCACCTGGGTGGCTCAGTTGGCTGAGCAACTGACTGGATTTTGACCCAGGTCATGATCCCAGGGTTGTGGGATCAAGCCCCGTGTTGGGTTTTATGCTGAGCATGGAGCCTGCTTAAGATTCTCTCCCTCCCTCTGCCTCTCTCCCCTACTCGAGTTCTCTCTCTAAAAAAACAAACAAGAAAACCCTTAAGAGGGGTGCCTGGGTGGCTCAGTCAGCTAAGCATCTGACTTCGGCTCAGGTCATGATCTCCGAGTTCATGAGTTCAAGCCCTGCATCAGGCTCTCTGCTGTCAGCACAGAGCCCACTTTGGATCCTCTGTCCCCCATTCCCTCTGCCCCTCCCCCACTTGCACTCGCTCTTTGTCTCTCGTTCTCAAAAATAAACACTTAAAAAAAAACACAAAACCTCAGTGAAGTAGGGATAGAGGGAACATACCTCAACATCATAAAAACCATACATGAAAGACCCACAGCCAATATAATCCTCAGTAGGGAAAAACTGAGAGCTTTCTTCCTAAGATCAGGAACAAGACAAGGATGTCTACTATCACCATTGTTATTTAACATAATACAAGAAATCCTAGCTTCAGCAATCAGACAACAAAAAGAAATAATAGGCATCCAAATCAGCAAGGAAGAAGTCAAACTTTCACTATTTGCAAATGACATGATATTCTATGTAGAAACCCGAATGATGCCACTGAAAAATTGTTAGAACTGACACATGGATTCAGTAAAGTTGCAGGATACAAAATCAACGTACAGAAATCTAATGCATTTCTATACACCAATAAAGAAGCAACAGAAAGAGGAATCAAGAAATCAATCCCATTTACAATTGCACCAAAACCCATAAGAATACACCTAACCAAAGAGGTAAAAGATCTGTACACTGAAAACTACAGAACACATATGAAATAAACTGAAGATGACACAAAGAAACAGAAAAACATTACATGCTCATGGATTGGAAGAACAAATATTCTTTGCAGAGCTACAGCAAACAATCCTAAAACCACAAACAACCCCAAATAGCCAAAGCAATGTTGAAAAAGAAAAGCAAAGCTGGAAACATCACAATTCTGGACTTCAAGTTATATTACAAAGCTGTAATCATTAAGACTGGATGGTACTGGCACAAAAACAGACACATAGATCAATGGAACAGAACAGAAAACCCAGAAATAGACCCACAACTATATGGTCAACTAATCTTCAACAAAGCAGAAAAGAACATCCAGTGAAAAAAGATGGTCTCTTCAACAAATGATACTGGGAAAACGGGACAGCAACCTGTAGAAGAATGAACCTGGACTACTTTCTTACATCATATACAAAAATAAATTCAAAATGGATCAAAGACCTAAATGTGAGACAGGAAACCATCAAAATCCTAGAGGAGAACACAGGCAACAACCTCTTTGATTTCAGTCATAACAACCTCTTATGAGACACATCACCAGAGGCAAAGGAAACAAAAGCAAACATGAATTACTGAGACTTCATCAAGATAAACAGTTTCTGCACAGAAAATAAATTGTTTCTGCACAGAAAAAAAATCAACAAAACTAAAAGACAACCTTTGGAATGGGAGAAGATATTTCCAAATGACATATCTGATAAAGGGTTATTAATAACATCCAAAATCTATAAAGAACTTTTCAAACTTGGGCCTCAGTCAGTTGAGCATCTATCTGACTCTTGATTTTGGCTCAGGTCCATGATCTCATGGTTTGTGAGATCAAGCCCTACTGTAAGTGCAGGGCCTGCTTGGGATTCTCTCCCTCTCTCTCTCTCTGCCCTTCCCCTGATCACTCAAGCTCTCTCTCAAAATAAATACATAAACATTAAAAAAAAAAAGAGCTTACCAAACTCAACACTCAAAAATCAAATAATCCAGCTAAGAAATAGGCAGAAGACATGAACAGACATTTCTCCAAAGAAGACATACAGATGGCTAACAAACATGAAATGATACTCAACATCACTCATCATCAGGGAAATAGAAATCAGAGCTGCAATGAGATATCACCTCACACCTGTCAGAATGGCTAAAATGAACAACACAGGAAATAACAGATGTTGGCGAGGATGCAGAGAAAGAGAAACCTTCTTACACTGTGGGTGGGAATGTAAACTAGTGCAGCCACTCTAGAAAACAGTATGGCGGTTCCTCAAAAAGTTCAAAAAAGAACTACCCTATGATCCAGCAACTGCACTACTAGGTATTTACCCTAAGGATACAAAAACACTGATTCGAAGGGACACATGCACCCTGATGTTTATAGCAGCATCTTCAACAATAGCCAAGATATGGAAACAGCCCAAGTGTTCATCAACAGATGAATGAATAAAGTTGTGGTATACATACACACTGGAATATTACTCGGCCATAAAAAAGAATGAAATCTTGCCATCTTCAATGACATGAATGGAACTAGAATGTATTATGCTAAGCAAAATAAGTCAATCAGAGAAAGACAAATACCATATGATTTCACTCATATGTGGACTTTAAGAATTGAATCAGATAAACATAAGGAAAAAAAGAAGAGAGGCAAACCATAAAACAGACTCTTAACCATACAAAACAAACTGAGGATTGCTGGAGGGGAGGTTGGGCTGTGAGATGGGTTAAATGGGTGATGGGTATTAAGGAAGGCACTTGTTATGATAAGCACTGGGGGTTATATGTAAGTGATGAATCACTAAATTTTACTCCTGAAACTAATATTATACTATGTTAACTAACTGGAATTTAAATAAAAACTTGAAAAAAAAATTAACTAACTAATTAACTAACTAGAACAAACAGGACAAGGCTATGGTCCAGGGTATTCCAACATAAACTTTCCTTTATTAATTCACTGAAGAGTTAAGACTATTCATACAGTTATTCATTTAGTGAGCTAACCCTGCATCTAGATTAGATTTCTCTATCTCATCTACAACTATATCAGGAAGGGCTTGTAAAATATACTGAGTGTCTCAAATTTCCTACACTTTTCAGATTTTTTGCCGTAAATTTTCAATAATGCAAAAGCTTCAACTCTGCCTTGTATAGATTAAAATAATTTAGGCAACAGTGACAAAATGCTATACCTACCCCTTTCATCCAATAGGAGATTTTCTGGCTTAATATCCCTGTGAGTTATCCCAATACCATGTAGATAAACCTAAAAGAGAAACAGAGAGAGGCATACTTTGGTAACTTACTTCATTCATATTAATTTTATGTAAAAGGAAAAGAAACAACTGTACTTACCACCCCTGCCATGAGTTGATGGAAGAACCTTTGAGCATCTTGTTCAGGCATGCCTATGTCTGGCTCTATAAGAATTAATAATGAAAGTTAGCCTGCCATGTAAACATAATCAGGCAGCAACCACAGAGTCTCCTAAATCAAAGCTTAGACATTTGTGATTGTATACTGGGAAACAGAATCTTAGCTAGCAACTAAGACTCTAGTGTCCGTTAATTCACACGGTACTTAATTAACTCACATTCCCCATCTGTTATGTGGCAAAGATAAAATAACATCACAGGAAAACTACAGAGAGAAACTATTATCCAGATCAAGAATGCAAGCCATACCTTGAAAGCCTCTGATTATCTTACACTAATCATGATTTATTTGGTATCTTTCCAATTCTCCCCTAATTTCTTCTAAATGCTCTGACATTGTTTTCCTCATCGCTAAAATGTAATTGCCAAAGTATAAGCCTGGGCAAACATAAACTAATATCACCAAATATTGAACAACAAAATGAAACTTCATCTAATCCCTCGTACTACAAAGCTATGAATGCCTGCAAAGTTCCTTTAGGAAATACAGTTTTATTAAAAAATGTTCTATTGTCAGTTTTCTTTTTATATTTTGATCTCTGTCTTTACCTCTTGATTTCTTTTACACTGAACTCTCTCCTGAGATACATACTGGAGATTCTAAATAATCAGTTTTTAACTGTGAAAACAATAGCTGTAGACAATAAATTTAGATCCACATAATATATTTTTACGTACTTCTCAGTGTTCTGAAACATCAAGCCTTTGAATCTACATAGAATGCTGAAAGTAGCAAGTACAGAATTTACTAAATATAGGTAAAGCAATTCTAAAAAGTTCTCAAGTTATTTCTCTTAAACAAAAAAGAATATAACAACATGCTATTATTTTGGCTCTGTAAATGCATGCAATGATTTCATGTAACTGGAATGTCTATAAAGAAAAATCACTGTATAGATAAAACAATACTTCACCATGAGATTAGTTTATCATTCTTAAACTCTACAAAACAGCAACCCTAACCAAAATCACATGCACAATTTGGGAAAAAGGTTCTCCTTGATGAATCTATATATACTTTAATGTATTAACATAACTTGCAAAAACAAGAAAACTTACTGTAATTTCCTTGTTGCATAAGCAGTTCTGAGTGGACAATGACCAAATAGCAGATCCAAGATTAAAAAACAAATTTAGAAACTTAATTAGTAGAATAGATATCTTAAATCTTATTTCCATACCTATTCTGTCAAAAAGTTCTCCTCCACTACAGTACTCCAGAAATAGATACTGGATATTGCCTTCTCTCCTGTGGCCATAGAATTTCACTACATTCTCATGATTTAACATTTTATTGATACAGATCTCCTTCTTAATATTTTCTGGACAGTCTATGGCACGTTTCATGTCTACAATCTTGACTGCAACTGCTTCTTCAGTTCTTCTATTCACAGCAAGTTGAACTCTAAAAAGGAAAACGAAGACATGTGAACTCTATTTAAGACTTCAAAAGATTAAATATTGACTTATCCAACAATTTTACCTTCGTTACTTTCTCCACCCGGTAAAAGCCAAGAAAATGGTTTCTGCCATGTTCTCAACAGAGAGTACTCCTTTCTGAAATGTGATGTATGATGGCTAATGCTCTACAGAAGTCATTATGTTGTGTATCCAAAGGTTATTTAATAAATGCTTGATAAAGTAAACTAAAACGGAGTAACAGTAATTCTAGGCCACATCACATATACACATGCTCTATTTATTTGATTTTAATAACGTTACCTAATATTTGTTAACCTCATGCTATATATGCCTGTGCTAACTGTTCTAAGCACCTATGGGGTAGGTACTATTATTGTCACGGTAGACCTGAGGAAACAGAGATACATTAAGGAGCTTGCCTAAGAACACAAAACAATGTGTTAGTATGTAACAGAGTGAAAATCTGAAACCAGGTAGTCTGACTCCAGAGTGTTCATTTGCTCATTTAACCACTATGCTTAAAACCCAGCAAGGAATATGTGGGAGGAGAACCTGACTTCACAGGTCTCTTCCACTTCTTTACAGAAAAAAATTTTTTAAAAAAGGAAGAAAAAAATTGATCCTTACAAAACTTCACGCGGCTTTAGTTCCCAAAGGTCTTAGATTTCAAATGCAAAGATCTGTTCTCTGAGATGCCACTATATTATAATAAACAACTCCTGGTGTGCCTAGGTGGGTCAGTTGGTTGAGCATCTGACTTGATTTCCACTCAGGTCATGATCCCAGTGTCGTGAGTGTCGTGAGATCGAGCCTCAAGTTTGGGTCCACACTGGGCATGGAGCCTGTGTAAGATTCTCTCATTCTCATTCTCTCTCTCTCTCTCTCTCTCTCTCTCTCTCTCTCTCTCTCTCCCCCCGCCCCGCCCCCTCCCCCCCCTCAACCATGCTCGCTCCCTAAATAAATAAATGAAAATAAAATAGAATACACAACTCCAAAACAACAAATCTGTACTCAAACAAGACAACAGACAGAAAACGAAAGCAAGCGTGAAGGCAAGGTAAAAGGACTCAAACTCACTCTCCATAGGCACCTTCTCCCAGGGTTTGCACCAAGTCCCAGTCTTCCACAAAGGGCACTGCCATGACTCCAGGATGGATCACGGCTGTAAAAGGCAGGAACCCGGAAAAGATGGGGCTGAGGCTAAGCTTCAACCATCTGCCACGATCCCTCAACGTAACTAACAGTTTGGTTTCCCCCTCCGCCTCACCCGTATTTTACCCAAGGCTTTCAAGCACCAGCAAGTATACTAAATTCTGGCATGTTGTGGTGTAATTCACACTCCCCACTCCCACGCGAACCGAAGCTACAACCGCCGCCCTCAGGCCTCCGAGGAAATGCAGCGGCTGTGCTGAGAGGCTGGGGGCACAAATGCTTTGGGGGGGGGTGGTGACTGGGGAAGGGAAGGGGTGAGACAGGTGAAGGGCTGCGGGTTAGAGGAGGACAGGGTCTCCCGACGACGCCTGCCGCCCCTCCTCCCCCCTTGCTCAGCTCCAATTCCCACCCCCACGCCATCCAGAAGGCCGGGAGGAGCCTGGGGCGGGGCCAAACTGCCCCAAGAAGCGGAAGGAAGGGCTAGCTGGCCCTCGAGACGACTGGCGCCCAAACCTTTGGGGTCCCCAGCAGGCAGAGAGGTAGTCTCTCCAATCCCTCTACAACAGGGTCCCCCTGGTCCCAAACTCCTCCAGTCTCAGAAACCGCCCCTCCGCGGGAATCTCTGATCCACTTCGCTTGTCACCCATAACTTTCTCTCGCCATGCCCCTCTCAACGAATGTAGACCCCGAAGTCCTTTTCCAGACTGCTTTCCAACCCTACCGGCTGCCTCTCCTCACCAGGCCGTCCTTTGCCCGCCACCACAGGAATCCAAATGCGGCGCCTTTCCCGCCAAAACTTTCCCGGCGTCACGCTGTCGCAAACGCGCGCACCCTTGCCGTAAAGCAGGAGAGCGCGCGTCTCCTACTCAGGCGGCTGTGAAGAGTGGCCTCTTCGGGCAGCCGGTACCCAGAGGTTGACCTCGAGGCGTGAGCTGGCCAGGCCCGGGTTATTTTAGAGTCGAGAGGAGACCCAGGCTGGAGAGGTTTAAGAACAGCCGAGCGCATCAACGCGAAGAATCTCCCGGCCCCAGTGCATGCAGGTGTCCGGTGCGTGGCCCGCAGTCGGGCCGTCCTCGCGCTCCTGGGCGGAGCCGAAGTCCCCTCGGAGACCTGCACACACGCTGGGAGTGCGGGTCCTCGAGTACACTCCCCGCTGCTCTGGGCCTGGCAGCATTGTGCGGATAGTATTCAGAAGTGTTGCCTCGGAAACTTTAAGAAGGGGTACAGATCAAACTAGAGCCGAGAAGCTAGAACAGCCGTTTCGAACAGATCCCGTGAAGAATGAAAGAACTTTGTGGCGGGAGCGAGAAGCACAGACTGGCCGCGCTGCGGGGTGGGGGGTGGAAAGGCATCCCTCGGAAGCAAGCGACACTTTGTACTGTGAGGGCGTGTCAGGATAACCAGTTTTGCCTTGTGTCTCCAGACTCCAAAACACGACTTTAGCCCAGCCTTTCTGAAGGAACAGCATCTCCATAGCCTTAATTCTTCTATCCTCTTTTTCATTCTCGCTGTGTAAAAAAGACAGCTGGGGGCAAAGGGACTGTTTTGCCTCGTTTTTTACGATGCTTTATTTTAAAAGCAGAGTAACCAGTTTAAATGGGAAAGAAAATTCTTGGGATAGGGACTTGGTTGAGAACAAAATAATGTGGAAAAACCGTAAGTGTTCCCCCTTAACAATAAACTAGACTGGGAACTCAAGGTGCAGGCAAGATAATCTCCATTAAATTATCCAGTTCTTAAAACTGGGCTACACACCCCGAGTATAAAGCTCTTGATTGTGATACTGGTAATACAGTAAAATGAGTGTACAACATGTTACCCAAAAAAGCACACACATGTTTTAAAGCAAAGTCCGGGGACAGAAAAACAAGGCCAGAGCACTTCAAAGTGCTTGTTGGAGTTTTTAACCATGACAACAGTTTAGGCTTCATGGAATAAGTTTTCCAGGTCATTTACTCCATTTTCGCACTGTGCTATAAACAAAGAATATGAAGAAAGGAAGAGGGGGACCTACACAGTTCCTGTGTCTGGATGGAATTAAGCTATCTTAGCCTGAAAAATGAATAAGGTATACAGGTTTCAGGCAGAATACCAGTTAAAGAATGTGAGAGAATCAGTGCACACAATAGCTTCTGTTCCCTTCTGAAACCTTACTACAATAGTAAATATTAAAACGATTTAATAATAGTAAAGTTTACTATTTTAAAATAGTAAATTTGTAACAAAAGGCAATAACCCACAAGAATGGAGTATGAAAAACAAAATTTTGGAAATTGGGAAGTTTTTAGATGAATGCTAAAGATGAATCTTAAAACCAGCAATAGGAAAGAAAAGCAACTTGATTTACATCACAGAACTCCCAAAAGGCTCAAGTTGGATTATTGACACCAGGTAACTGAACGTGGAGATGAAGGTGGGGCTAAACAGGCAGGCTGAAAGACTAAGAAGCCAACAGAATTGGATCCTGTCCCTCCTTTATATACCCAAGGAACTGCTCCTCCCCAAAGCTGGTACAAAACTTGAGAGGGTAAACCCTATCCTAACTGGAGAGCATCAGGCACAGTTAAAAACTTGGGTACCTTATTGAAAACAAAGGTATTAAGTTTGTGTACTGAACCTCAAAGCCTTCTTGCCCCACCTTACTCCCAGAAATCTGCCAGCTAGGCATCCCTAAGACATACAGGCCTTCAGGAGGGAATCTAACCTGTCTAAAAGATCTAAAAATACCAGTATCAGGGATCTCCTATGTAACAATTATGTAACAATGTAATTCTGTTCCTGTGTATCAACGTGACAACTCAGCCAGATCACAGGAGAGCAGCTGACATTCAGTAAGCCCCACCCCATATAGACCTTCCAATCAGCTTTTTAGAGCCCCACTTCCTAAGAAGAGCAGACAACCAAGAATTTGAAAAGGCCTTTAATATGAAGGATATTAAAACAAAGGAATATTTTTTTAAAAAGCTCTTGGACATAAAAAAAAAAAAAA